CTTTTGAAAAGCCTTGAACTTTTGGATGTGAATCTCTAAAATTTAAATAAGGATCTTTAAATGTTGGATGCGAGTCTTGCAAGTTGTAAATGTAAATTTTGAGATATTACAAATTCGAATGAAACTGAAGTTTTGAGAATCAAATTTCAGTATATTCTTACGAAATTGAAAGATTCTTGCGAATCTGAACCTCTGAATGTTGAACTCAAATTGTGAATCCTTGAGTTCCCATTACAAAATTCTTTCAGTCACGATCTATAACTCCTTTGGACAATCGTCAAGGAGCCATTTATTTCCAAAGTCATTAAGCTTCTGATTAAAGGAGCCATTTAGTTTTCAAAGTCGTCGAGTCTCTGATTAGAGGAGCCATTTATTTTCTAAAGTTAGAAGAGCCATTTATTTTTCAAAGACGTTGAGCTTCTGATTAGAGGAGCCATTTATTTTTTCATTAAGCCTCTGATTAGGGGAGCCATCTATTTTCAAGATCGTGAAGCCTTTGTTTAGAGGAGCTTTGTTTATTTTTTCAAAGTCTTAGAGCCTCTACTTAGAGGCACTTTGATAAAAAAAAAAAAGAGGGCAAAAAAAATGTCAAGTTGAGTCTTGAATGGGTGTCTACGTCTTTGCATAATTCTTGTTTCATAGAAAATGTGCAAAGAGGGGCAGCTATGGACACCTTATTTGGTCCGAGCCTAAGGCCATTGGGCTTGATCCAATAGGGTTTGGGTCTAAGACCATTGAACCCGGTTTAAGATCCAATTAGCTGGCCCAATGGGCTTTTATTTTTATTTCCATTTTATTTTTATTATTTGTCTATTTATTAATATTTTTTTTTATTTTTATTTTTTTTATCTATTAATATTTTTATTATTTATCTATTTTTATTTTTTATAATTATTTTTTATCTATTTTTTTTGTTATCTATTAATATATTTATCTTTTTATTTTGATTAATTTTCGGTCAAGATTAGGATTAGGATAAAAAAATTGAAATGAATTTGATTGTGATTTGGAAATTTTCAAATCCCAAAAAGAGATTGGGATTGATTAAAAACTCTCTGATCAATTCCTATAATAGTGGTGAACAGAACAGAAGACACACAAATAAGAGACAGAAGCTAAAAAGAGTTTTGGTGCGTTAGAATAGCTCTAAGAAATTAGGTGAGAATTTTTTTTAGAATTTGAATGAATTTTTTTTTTGAAATTTCTGAAATTTCTGATTTCGGTTGAATTTTTCAGCGAAGTTTGAATTTTTTCGCCGTCCAATTCCCAGGTTTTTGATGACTATTTCTAAAAATCAATCAATTTTCGGGTGAACTTCCAACGAAAAACCGATTCTGACGAAAATTTTAGGAAATCGACGAGATTCAACCGGAGTTCTTCGCTGATTAGGAGAGAAGAGAGAGGAAAAGAAAGGGAAGAGGAGATGGAGAAGGAAGGCTTAGGTCTGGTTGAAAAACAGAGGAATTAGCCTTTTTATACCAAGTGAAAACGACGTCGTTTTGACGTTACTATGCCAGAGGATCCGCGCGTTTTAAAGTCGGGCGACCCAACCTGAACGCCAACCCGCTTTCGACCCGCGTGCGATCCGCATCTCCGAGTCGTTTCTCGAGCCGAGTCAAGCCGCTAAGCCGAGCCGTTCCCAAGTTTTTTTTTTCATTTATTTATTTATTATTATTATTGTTGTTTGTTTAACATTTTTTTATTTTATTTTATTTTTATTTTTATTTTTATTTTCATTTATTTTATTTATTATTTTATTTTATTTAAATAAAATTCAAAAAATATATATTTTGAGGAAAAGTTGAAAGTATCAAATTTCCTTGAAGATAAGCTTTCTAAAAAATATTTTTGAGAAAAAGTTGAAAGTATCAATTTTCCTTAAAAATAAGTTTTCAAAAATGGATTTTTGAGGAAAAGTTAAAGGTATCAATTTTTCTCGAAATTAAAGTTTCTAAAAAATATTTTGGAAAAAAGTTGAAAATATCAATTTTTTCTGCACAAAAGCAATCATTTTTTTCTCTTTATTTTCTTGAATTTTTTTAATGTTAAATAATCCGACGATGGAGCTTCTGTAAGTGAAACAATAGTTTTCTTGCATACTCTTGAGGTAAGAGAATTTTTTTAATTTTCTGTTAAAAGTATTAGAGTCAATTGAGAATAATTTCTAATAATTAATTACTTGGTAAATTTTTAAGGCTTATTAGATAACACAAAATTAAGCTGATACCATCTTTCGATGGACGTTGTGAGGGTGCTATAACCTTCCTCACACGTAACCGAACTCTCGAACCCTGTTCTGGTTATTAGACCCAAACCTATTCTTTTAGAGACCCTTAAACTTAGGTGTTCTCTGAAATGATAGATTCCTTAGGTGACCAATCGCACCTAGATAAAAAAGATTGGTGGCGACTCCTTGAAGTCAATGTCTAGTGATAGATCCCTGAATCTAGACGTTATGACAAACGTGTTATATTGTTACGGTTCATAAAAGGTTAAGGGTATATTTAACATGATACAATTTGTAATTTTCTTTGGTTGTTTCATGCTAAGCATAATATTATTTTTTGTGATAAGTTGGGCCAAGTATAGTTTATTAATACTTTTTAGAATTTTAATTATTTTTTAAAAGATTATCATTTATTATTATTAAAAATAAGATATAGGAGTTTATTAATACAAAATAAAATAAAAAAGACACATAATTTACGTGATTTAATAAGATATCTATATTCACGAAATTTGATAATAAATTCACTAAATAAAAATATTAAAATTACAATTCTAATATTTAAAGTGAAAAACATGTACATATAATCTATTTTATATCTAGTAATACACATATAACTAATGTTTTGCTGATAGATCTAATATCATAAATAAATAAAATTTTAAAGAAAATTTTAATAAATTAGATATTAAAATTTTTTTATAAGAAAAGTAACTTTCTTAACCCGTACAATATACAAGATTTTTTATTAAATTTTTCATAATTTTAAATTTATTTTTTAATTATTTATCTAATATATAATTATATATTTATAAATGCTAAGTTATAATTTAATGATAATTTATACATAATATATTATAAATGATATTGTTCATCTAAAAGAAGTCTAAACTTTTTAAAATTTTCAAGAATTATAAAAATCTTTTTTTTCATTAAAATATTTTCTTCAATTTATTTGTTAAATTCTAAAAATTTTGCTACCACTTTTTTCTTGTTTGATAAAAAATAAAGAATCAATATTTAAATAGTTAAAATTAATAATTATTTTTATCATAGGTGGTGTGTATATATATATATATATATATATATATTTGATTAAACAATAAATCTAATTATTAATTTTGTTATAATCATTTGCTTTTATTAGTTCTTATTTTTAACATACTTTGAATAATTATTATACAAGTATATTGGATTAACAATTATTTCTATATATGTCAACAAAATAAAATTATTTTTAAATAAAGGGAAATAATAATTCTTTATGTTATGCTTAAAAACTTTTTTAAAATATTTTTATTTTTAATCATTTTTAACATAATTAATAGTATTTTTTTGTGAGTTAAAAATGATGGTGATCATTATTCTTCTCGTATTATCCATTGTAGACAAAGAAAATTCAACAATAAAAAGTATAGTAAAAGGAACTAGGAGAATATAAATTTACCATGGTTAATTTATAAAATTAAATATATACAATTAATAAAAGCCAATATGTTAATAAATTAACGAAAAATAAAAACATAGAAGAAATGAATAAAAACAAAAAATAGATATAATACAAAAGTTAATATAATCAATCTAAGCAAAATTAAAAATAAGTTATGAACTAAAGCAATCAAATAAATTAACCCAAATATATAATATAAAAATATTTGAATTAGAACATAAATAAAACATTATATTTATTTTTCAAAGCAAAAATATATTTTTATCTAACTTTTTTTATCAATATTCAAATATCTCATAGTTTCATATAAAAA